AGAAAGAGAACTTATGGCCACAATTGAGCCCAAAATTTTGGTTGCTAAGCAAGAGCATTGTTAAGTGAGTTTCACCACATTTTCCAAGTTGGCCATGCCCACCTGGTCACACGCCCACCAAGCCACACCCACCCAGTCACATGACCACTGAGCCACTCCCACAAAACAGGCCACACCTACAGAATAGGTTCTAAAAATTTTGAAACCCACCCCTGCACCAGATGTACTTCCTTGATAGTTGGAACCTGCAACATGCCCTACCTTCCTGCCTATGGCACCCCATAATTCACATCTCCAAGTTCATGTTTGGCTAATATTTTTTAGGATAAGCAAAAATGTTATAGGTACAAGCGTTGACCTGAAAGGAAATGAACAGATGCTGCTATCTAGGGATTTTTCCTGTGTCCTGATTGGGTTACCCAAATAGCAGAGATGTCCAAAATAGGGTTACACTATCATAATTATGATCTCTATCCTCTTTATCTATTTCTTAGTTTTGGCTCTTTGAACCTCGACAACGCCACAATTCTGAAGTTGTTTTCAAGGCTCTCTACCATGCCTCTCCTGAAAATACTTGGGTAAGTGTCTGTAGATTGAGTTTCGCCCAGCCATCTGGGATCTGAATGATGCCTGGATTAAATTTCCATCTTCTGTAGTGGAATTTGAGAACTAGAGAGACTCAAGTCCAGCAACATCTGGAGGACTACCAGCTTTCCATAGCATAAATTGAGATCTCATGTCCTGACCAAAATAGTCCTCTTCATTAACTCTCCTTTTTGAAAAAACCATTCTCTTGCTGGGGAAACTTGACCTCACATAAACCAACTGACCTATGTTTATTTGGGTTCTTCATGTATATAATTCTTTTCTAGTTTGAACAATAATCATCTCGACAGTCGCATGTGTTCCCACCTTGCAGAAGTTTTGAAGACCACACTTCAAATAGAAGAAATTGAGTAAGTCCACATTTTTCACTTGCACTTTTCACTGTTTTCCTTCACTCTGAGGGCATTTTCACACTGCTGTCAATTTATATCCCCTATAGATTACCTAGCAGTTTGGAAATGCCTTCAGGTCTTCTTCCACTGGTCTCCAGTTGATTCCATTGACCATTGAGATGGATTGTTCTAATCAATGTATGCCCCCAGTTTAGGATGGTATAAGATCGCCTGCCTTGGGCCATGACTTCCAAGGTCCCTTCTAGCCCTATGATTCTATAATAAGGTGTGACCTTGGTAAAACAAAATAAGTAAATTCCTTCAATTGAACTGAACTCCAGCTGAATTTATGGAGTGGTACACATACCGGTAGTTTGTCTTGCTCCGGGATATTTTTCCAGTTTCCCACGCTGAATTCATTCGTTCATTCCTTCATTTTCTATAGCCACTTATCTCCCACAATGACTCTGGGCAGCTTACAATTCAAGAAATATATTACAATTAAAATACTAAAATATTTCTAAAAATAAAAAACCAATAAAAAACAAAAACATCCAGATTAAATATGCATAGGGGCAAAATACTTGGCAAGTTAGCAATACAACTAGGATACGAGACCCCAGGCTTGGGAGCATAGCCAGGCCTTTAAAGCTTTAGGGAAGGCTAACAGAGTTTGGGGCCATTCTGATCCCCCAAAGGAAGATGTTCCATGTAGTAGGGACCACTCAGCTTGCCTTCTAGTCTCCGGCAACCAACACTTTTTGGATGACAGGATCCGCAGCATGCCCGATTCTTTGGTTCAAATTGGATGGATAGAGACTCTTAGAAAAAAGCAGTCCCTCTGGAATTACCATAGTTGGACAACTATGAACAACCCAGAACAAACCCCTGGCAGTCTCCACCCAGTTTATATGCTGGGTGTAGAAGATCAACCTGGTGCTGCCACTTGCTGGGACACCATCAAGACTACTTGTCCTATAATTTTGAAAGTGAGCAGACAAAAGGAGGGCTCACCGTGACATTCACAATTACAGGGGAAGAAAAGAAAACCAGTGTGGGATAACAACTCCATATTGTGTAGCTGTTCTTTGAAAGAATAATGACAGCCGAAGGTGAAGAACACAAACAAAGAGTAGCCAACGGAAGTCATAAAACGCCAAATTGGGTATTTTGAAACATAAATATTCCACCTGGCTTTGGGGGATCCTGAGATTCTACCAAAAATAGTCAGTCCCAACCCTGAACTATAACCAGATACATGAATGACACCAGTGACTTCTTTCTTTGACCCTTTGTGTTTGTGCATTTCCTTTTAAAGCTTAAGCCACAACAAGATTGATGATGCTGGCATGAAAGCGATAGCTATGGCCCTTCCAGGAATGAAGAATGTGAAGCTAATCAAGTAAGCCGCTTGCCCTTTTATTGGTCAAGTTGACACAATGATAGATTATTGATTTGAGTTATTGGTGGGGAGGGGGATTTCTGATCCACTATCTAATTGTCCTTCCCATGCTGTGAGAGAAGTGTCAATATCAATAGAATGGTTGAATCCAAGGAAGGAGAAATCATCCCCGTAATTTAAGAGATGCACTTAGTGATCAAGTTAATATACAAGGTATAAGACAGAGTTTCCTGGCCCACTGCCTTCCTCAGATTGGTGATGGAACCCAACCTGTGGCAATCTATATATATAAAAGCCAAGTACCACTCACCCATCATGAAATCTCCAGAACCATAAAGCCTACAAACTTGAAATTTGGCAGGTATAGCAATAGCAGTAGACTTATATACCGCTTCATAGGGCTTTCAGCCCTCTCTAAGCGGTTTACAGAGAGTCAGCATATTGCCCCCAACANAGTAGTAGTAGTAGTAGTAGTAGTAGTAGTAGTAGTAGTAGTAGTAGTAATATACCTAGCAGTTCGAAAACATGTAAAAAATGCAAGTAGAAAAATAGGAACCACTTTTGGTGGGAAGGTAACAGCGTTCCATGTGCCTTCGGCGTTGAGTCATGCCAGCCACATGATCACGAAGACATCTTCGGACAGCGCTGGCTCTTTGGCTTTGAAAGGGAGATGAGCACCACCCCACATGTGTGTGAGGGGAACATTTACCTTTACATAGGTCTTTGCCTTGTTCAGCTGCCTCTTTGCAATGCAAGAAAAATTCCAAATATGCACCCAAGTCAGGGGCTAAAATAGTTATTTCTTGCATTTTGTGGATATGATACATATGCGGCATGATAGCAGTATTCCAGTATTTGGGAGGCTGCCACAAAGAAGAGGGGGGGGGGTCAACTTATTTTCCAAGCTCCAGAAGGCAAGACAAGAAGCAGTAGATGGAAACTAATCAATCCTTAGTAAAACCACACCTGGAATATTGAATCCAGATTTGGTCACCACACAAGATGATGAGGCTTTGGAAAAAGTGCAGAGAAGAGTAATTAAGATGATTAAAGGCCTGAAGTTTAAAACATATATAAAACAGTTGCAGGAACTGGGTACGGCTAGTCTAGAGAAAAGAAGGAACCGGGCGGGGTGGGGGCGCATGATAGCAGTCTTCCAGCATTTGAGAAGCTGCCACGAAAAAGAGGAGTGGGGGGGTTTCAACTGATTTTCCAAAGAAATAGAAGGCAGGACAAAAACAATGGATGGACATTAAACAAGCAGAGAAGCAACGTGGAATTTAAGGAGAAACTTCCTAACAGTGAGAATAATTAACCAGCGGAGCAAATTCCCTTCAGAGGTCGTAGGTGCTTCATCACTGGAGGCTTTCAAGAAGGGACTGGAGAGCCACTTGTCTGAAACGGTATAGGGTCTCCTGCTTGAGCAGAAAGTTGGACTAGAAGACCTCCAAAGTCCCTTCCAACTTTATTCTGATTGGACAAACAGAGCTTTACAGCAGGGTCTTTGCTTTGCTGCAAATGATAAGCTGGCAGTAGTGAGTACAATACTTCAGGTGCCTAAAATTGTCCCTTTGTCTTTCCAGGCTATGGAACAATTCAATCCCCAGGGACCTCGAGCAGCAGCTGGCCAATCAAGAGCCACGATTACATTTCGCCCTCCTTTGAGATGGGAAAAACGGACCCAAACTTGTAAATTCCATGGAGATTTGTTACTGTCCAAAGTCTTTTGGGCACAAGAGTAAGGAGGAATGTTTCTTGGATCTCCTTAGAAAAGTCTTTTTCCAGCCCATGAATGACACTCTATCAAATCATCCTTAGCTCTACTGGTGTTAAAGTACCTTTTTCTGCTTTATTTCAATGCCATCCTCGAGATAACGACCAATCCAGGAGGCTGTGTTGCTGCTTTGTTTGGAGATACACCAGCAAACTATAGGGCTTTGGAACAGAGGCTTTGGAATGGGGATTTTGGGCCCCACTCAGCCTATCCTGTAAAATAGGATATTTTGGCTTCTTGAAATATCTTTGCTTGCACAGAGTACCAGAGGAGGTACGCTAATTTTGCACTAACACACTCGGAATCCTTTCCAGAAAACATACATTGGATTGTATGTAAACAAAGAAACATTGGATTCTACAGCGTGGATGAACATTTTTAACCTATGCTTATTTATTCTATTTTATCACAAGTTACTTTAATTTAGTTGATCCTGTGGCTGGCTTGGTATCTGGGGAATGTAACAAATGAATTCAATCTTCCAGGAGTTTTCCAAAGACCCCCCACTAGATGGCGCTCGGTCCTTATGGGAATGTGATAGAGAAGCAGTGGTCTGTAGAGATTCTCAGCCATCCAGGTCATGGTTGTCCCAAAAGGGCTTTTTCAGGAGGCAACTGGACTTCTTCAGCTCTGACTGGATGGTGGGGAATGGAAGGATTTATACTCCTTGCAGGCAGCTGGTCATTTGCATCCTTTTAGAGCAGAGGTCACCAACCCAACAGAAAAAGAGGGAGATGAGAGAGAAAGAGATACAGAGAGAGAGAGATGAGAGAGAGAGAAAGAGACAGACAAAGAGGGGGGAGAGATGAGAGTGAAAGAGAGAGAGAGAGAGAGAGAGAGAGAGAGATCCCAGTGTTTTGTTTTCTGCGGGAAAAGGGTGCAAATTGAGTGTTTAAGGTTGCAGAAACAGGTGGCCAAGCTAAATGCCTGAAGGATCCCATCCTGTCACTGGGAGTCCAGGAGCTTCAGCGAGCAACACATTAGATTCATATTAGTGGTCCGCAGGATGGTGGGTTGCAGGTGTTATGCCCTGGTATGGGTGTACCGGTGCCTGCCCGGAGCATCGGATACCGTTCTGGTGCAGTGCTCTGGAGGGCCCACCCTTACCTGTATTTGAGCTCTTCAGGGCTTCCACGCATGCGCACAGATCAGCTGGGGCATCTCGGAGACTTGCGGAGGCATTGCAAGAAGTAAGGATGCATGCGCGCGCTGGCGCGTTCATGTAGTGGATGCCGGGTCCTGTACCGGTTGCAACGGGATCTGGAACCCACCACTGGAGCTCACCCTGTTGTGCGGCACTCGGGTCTCAAACCTGAGCTGTCAACTTTCCAGCTGACAAGCTTTAACCACTGAGCGATCGTGCCCGCCCCCTCTGTTACTATAGTCAGTCCCAATAAAAGCAGTTTTCGCCTTGCTGCCATTCCTTTTCTGACCCATCTAGTCGAACACTGGAATAAACAGTATCTAATCTCACAGAGGAACTTTCAGGATCAACCATGCGAGAACAATTGAACTGAGAAAACTGTTTTCAGGAATATCCTAGACAAATGTCTAGAGTGAGGTGCGATTCACACCTTGCATAAGTCATAATATTGATTGTTCTTGGCTTACTGTGTTGTGAAAGTCAACTTTGTTTGTTCAAAAGTTAATTAGAAATTCATTTTTTTAAGAAAACGTATTAGAAGATTAAACCAAATCTAAATAGAGCATGTGAATCCTAAACTTTGAGCATGCCATGTCCCATCTAAATCCCCGAAATTGGGGGCAAAGTGCAACCTTCAGTTTCTAGCCAGTCATATGACATTAAACAGTATTGAGAATTCCAGAGCTTTGGTAAAAGGGGGCAGAATCTGGGTTTCCAAATGTCCGAATGTTGTTTGTGCAGCGGCTGCAACATTTGTGAGTGTAAAAAGCAGGTCAAAAGTCACTTTTTTCAACATCGTTGTAACTTTGAAAGGTCACTGTGCTGTAAGGTGAGGACTACATGTATATAGTAAATAATAAAATGCTGCATTCTGCCTCTCTCTAACTTGAGAGATTTAAAAGATATTATATCCTTCTGGGAAATGTAATCGAAATAAATACCTCTTTGATGAGTGATAGAAATGGTAACTTTATCCTGCAAACATCAATATTATCGCTACAAACAAAACACACACACACACACACACAAAACACATTACCTTCCCAAAAGAAAATGGGATATAGATTTTAATAATACAGTACCCTCAATATAGGAACAAAGGATCTTACAGTAATTTTTTAATATGCTAATG